CGTTCGGCGTACGTCGTACGTAGGTTAGACGAACGAACGAACGAAGAAGACTATCTTGTTGTTTCTTCGTAGTAGTGAGATTTTCCTTCTGTTCATCTATCAGGATGCAAGGAAGACGGGCGCCCCCAGACACCCGCTGCCAGGCCCTGGGCCGCACGCAGTCGGGGCAGCTTCCAGCGGCAACGTCACTTTGAGCCAGGGCCCCGGGGGGTCACCTAGTCCCAGCAGCACGCTGCTCTCCAGTCGGGGGACCAGGGTCCACCCGGTGACACCCCAACCCCTTCCTTACGGAGCTGCATCCCCCTCTGCCTGCGGGCAGGAAGTGTGGCCCCGGAGCAGGTCTGCGGGCAGCTCCGCCCCCTCACGTCTGCCCCCCGGAACCAGCCAGCACCTCAGGGGGATGCACACTGGCCACCCCAGGCCCCTGCCCAGGGAGGGATGGAGGCCGGAGCCTCAGGGGGTGGGGGGCGAGGGGCTGCACACTTTCTCTGGGAGAAGCTGCCTCCTCCGTGGGGCTCCCTTCTGCACACACAGTGACTGGCACAGAAGCCTCTTACAGCTCTTGGCTGACGGACACTGGGAGCCTCCGGCGACCCTAGCTCCCGAGGCCGCAGGTGCAGGGGGAGGACCCTGAATTCTGGAGTCCCTGGTGAGTACCGAGAGGACAAGGGACCCGGGTGGGCTGTGGGAGATCCCGGGGCAGCCAGGCCGCATGGAGGGTCCACCTGGTGCCGGGTCACCAAGTGCGCCCCCGCCCTCGGGGGCCAGCGCAGTGGGATCGACTTCCCAGGCACCAGGCGGCCTCTGGGTGGGCAGCAGCCTCAACTGCTTGGGGGGCTACCTCAAAAGCCCTGCTCCCAGCCCACGAATCCTCACACCACACAGCCCGGGTCCCTGGGATCGCTCTGCCCGGCCCTGGCTGCCCAGCCCCAGCGCTGACCCGGGTATGGCCGGCCTCGTGGCCTCCCCATTCAGCCCTGCCTTCCCTCCCAGGTGCCTGTGGCCCTCACCGTCCTGTGTCCAGCTCTCTCCAAGGGCCCGCCGCCCACCCTGTGTCCCTCCCTGTTGACCCGTCAGGCACCTCAGCCCACCCCCAGGTCAGGTGAGGGCCCCCACTGGGCTGGCATTAGACCCCTGGGTGAGGAGGGAAGAGCCAGGGTCATCTGCGGTCTCCAGTCCAGTGGTGGGGGAGGCGGGCAGGCCCGAGGGGAGCCTGGAGGCCTCTCACTCTGTGGGTGCTGGGTCATCGGCCTGAGGAGAACCAGGACCCTGGACATCGGCAGTGGCATCACGGGACCCTCTTTGGACAAGATGCTTAAGTACCAGAGCTCAGGGCTGCCCCAAACTGCCCCAGGGGACCTCTTTCCGCTTGCTCTCCCACTATAAGGTGCTGGCGTCCAGGAACGGCCGAGCCCTGACCTTGTGGTGTGCAGCCCTGCCCCCACCCTGGCTTCCCTCCAGCTCGCACTCCTTTCACTGGGGCCCTGGTCACTGTCAGGCCGAGGTGAGTGCACACCAGTACCATCTGGATGGGGACTGGGACCAGGAGACCAGCAGGAACTGAAACTGAGTTCTCGGCCCTTGTCCTGTTCAAGGGGACCTCAGGCCCATCCTCCTGCTGGACACATCCATGGGCCACAGGGCTGAAATTCGGCTGCACTCGAGGAGGGTTCAGAACTGAAGCCTCTGGAACTTCCCGGCTGCTGCTCCTCTGACCTCGGGACGCAGCAAGGGGCGGGTAGGGGGAGCGGTGCTGAGGGGCAGGGACAGTGGAGGCCGGGGGAGGCCAGGACAGGAGGCGGGCCCCTGACACCGCGGCCTTGGCTGGGGGACAATGGATGAGGAAGCCGCGTCCCGGCGTGGAGACAGTGCCCATCCTTCACAGAGGCGCTGCAATCCCGTCCCTCCAGGATCAGGTCATAAAGCAAGTTAATAAAGTTGTGGCCTTGCTGAAATCAGGAGGGGCCCCTCCGCTGAGCGGCGGGCAATCCTCAGGCAGAGAGGACTCAGCATAGCCATCCTTCTTGGGGCCGAGAGCCTCCTCCTGACAAGGAGGCGGGCTGCGTGCGGACACCCAGCTGCCCCACCTCAGCGCCCAAAGGCTTCAGTCACAGTCCACATCCCAGCATGATTCAGGCACCGAGAGCCAGGGAAGCAGGGCTGAATCATTCAGCAACAGGAGACTCCAAAATGCTGGCTGTTAATAACGTTTACTAAAAACACCAGAACCCAAAATGACGTATGCAGTGTGACGGCTCATAAAAATGACAGAACTATCCACAAGCGCAGTAGAACCCAAGGGAAATACGTTCAAGTTTCTGATTAACTGTGTCTGAGCAGGGGTGAGAGACGATCCCAGGGCCTTCCCTTGCCTGGAGAAGGTGCGCGGGGCAGGGGTGGGGGGCACACGGGGCCCTGGCTCCAAGCCTGCAGTTGTGTCTCTTGGCGGCCACAGCCCCACACTGGCTTCACCTGTGAGAGTCGGGGGCTCACACCAGTACTCTAGGGGCGGGGAAGACCCCCCATGTGCCATGGCCCCGCACACCCCCGCTATCTGGTCATATAGTTTCACGGGCTGGATTGAGCCGCTCACACCAAGGTTTGCTGGGAGGACCCAGCACACTCCAGGCCCCAAATCAACCAATAATTCTTTTTCTACTTTTGGGGAAGGTTCCTTTGCCTGGAAACGAAGATTAGAAAATTTACCTATGATGTAACAATAAACACCACGGACCCTCCCAGGCCTCACGTCAGACAGCCCAGAGGGGCCCGCACGGGTTTCAGGACCTCCGAGGAAGACAGAGCGCTGGAGGGTGACAGCCGCCGTGGTGGGACCCCCACCACGCCCTAAATTCCACCTCCAACGTGGCCGCTCGGAAAGTGAGCGCGCTGGTGAGGAAGCGGCCGGCGGGGCGGGGCACGCACCTCGGGGAAGTAGTCCTGCGGAAACTTCTCTTTTTCCAGCATGGGCGTGCTCTCCAGCGTGTCCGAGTAGATCTCCTTCCCGGTGACCTTTTTGTACTTCTTAGCTAGAAAAGAGTGGAAGAACCCTGTGACCCAGCGCCACAGCCCCTTCAGCCGCTGAGGCCACCTGGGGTCCCCCTTCAGCCAGCTGAGGCCACCTGGGGTCCCGGTCCCACCGGAGCAGTGAGGGAGGCCCGGGAGGAGGGCCTGACGAGGGCCACCGACCCCAGTCTGGCCAGTTGCTCCTGGGGACACGTGTGCCTCATAAATTCCCACCCCACGACCTGGAACCTGACAGTCCACTTCATTATCCCCTGAGAGCTTCCAGCCTGCAGATTTACAGGGGCTAATTGGCATCCTCTGTTCAAACTGCGGCTATATTTAAAATGGCTATGGAGTTACCGTTCACTCCTGCTTAATATGAATTTATTTAATAACATCGATTTTCTCCTCGATCCAGCCAACATCACTCACGCAGTGAAGAGGAGTTCACGTGGGGCGGGCGGGGGGAGAGGACAGCTGGCAGGGCAGTCGGGACCAGCGCCCCCACCCCTGCCCATGCTGGCCTGTCCAGTGCCCGTGGGGGGCCACCTCCCTTCACCTGGCAGACCCCCTGCATGCAGGGCCTGGTCTGGTCCTTTTACAGCCAGGCCTCGGGTTGTTTGTTTCCACAGACCGATATCCCTACGTCCATGGTGGGGTTTAATGAACAAATGAATGGATGCACGAGTCTGGTCCTCCAACCCTCACTGGGCCTGGTGGGTGGAAGGCTGCCAGCTTCCCCCCAAGATGTGGGGCGGGGAGCCTGGGCAGCAGGTGGGCCAGCCAAGACCGCCACGGGGAGATTCCAGCCCAGACCATGCCGGATGGTCCGCACCAAGGGTGAGATTCCTGGGGTGTCAGGAGGCCGCTGGTGTGGCCGTGGGGGTCACGCTCAGGCCCCATGAGCAGCTCCACTGTAAGTTTCTGGGGGTACCGCCCACCCCGTGGGCCACTGAAGTGGGTGGAACAGCAATGATGAGACAGGGCAGGTCTTCCCAGTGACTCGGGGGCAGGGGGCAGAGCACACGAAGTAGCGCTGTCTCTCCTCTGGCCCTCCTCCTAAACCACGGAGACGAGCCACGGGGACGACAGGTCCCCCGAGAGCCCCGCACCCGTGAGGCAGGAGGCTGGTGCCTGGGGAGGGGGGCACAGGCTTGTGTAAACAAACCAGGGACGCCGCCAAGCTGTGACCCATTCATAACCCCACCTGCGGCGTTTAATCACAGGAGCACTTACTGTAACCGCCCATCCATCTCCGCACAAGGACAGCATTTATCAAGCATCACCCGCAGGCGGCATCATGACGGGGAGGTGCACCGCTGTCACAGGCGCGGCACGTCCAGAGCTCCCCTCCTCGAGGCGGCAGGCCACCTAGACTCCGAGTGGGGAGCTGACCACTCCGGTGGGGGGCCACAGGCCCATCCCGCACAGACGCCACCTGCTTGCCCCACCAGTGACACAGCAGCCCTCACGCGGCTCCGGCCTGCAGGGTGGGCTCCCACCTGCCCGGCCCCCAGCCCCGCTTCTCACCAGCCCGAACAGCCCTTCCAGGCTCCTCCTGCACTGGGCGACACCAGGATGTCCGCTGAGCGTTGTGGGGCCGGGGCCAGAAGCTGGGGACACAGACAGCAGGCATGGCCTCAACCTCCTGGGAGCCCTGAGGACACGGCCACGGGAAGCAGACATGGGGCCCGGAGAGGGGACACAGATTGACACGGGACCTGGATGCCCCTGAGTGTGGCCACCAAGAGAGGCCTGAGCCGGGTCTTGCTGGGGGAGCTGAACTAGCCTCCAGGAAGGGGGAGTGCCCCTGTGGACAGAGGACGTGCCCCCGCCAGAGGGTGGAGGACAAGCAGTGCCACCTCGGGGGAGGTGGAGGGGAGCTCTGGAGCAGGGCGGAGCTGACAGCCAGCCTGGAGCCAGGAGGGTGGCCCTGGGCCCCCACTCGGCCTCTGCACGGGGCAGGGGGTGCGGGTGAGGGTCCAGCCCCAGCAGTGGCTGGCCTCTGCCCGGTTCCACGGGACACCTCTGCTCCTGGCCAGCCCCCTTGTCTCTGGAAGGGGCAGGGCCAGGCATCAGCACCACCGCAGGCGGCGCCACCTAATGGGGTGCGGCCTGGGCTGACCTGGGGGGTCCCCGCCTGCAGGGGGGTATTTATCCGACCTTCTAGAGCCCCCCTCGCTAACAGCCGTGGCCCAGCTTGAGTTCCACTGAGAATAAAGGATGTTCTCTCTGAAGGTCTGCTCAGGATGGGCTTCCTCGAGGCAAAGACCGTGTCATCACTGCAGCGCCCGGGGACGTCCTCAGGACAGACGCAGGCCCCCAGGGTGCGGGTGGGCGCAGCGCAGCCTCGCTGCTGCAGTGGCGTCAGTCTCTCTGACTTAAGCCACTCTCACAGGGTGCGGTGGTTTTCACTGTTGCTTTCACGTGCAGCTCCCGGATGACACACGATGCTGAGTGCCTGGTGTTGCCGTCCATATATCTTCCCGGGTGAGACGCCTGTTCAGACCTTGGGCTCACTTTCCAGTTGGGCTGTTCCTGCTGCTGAGCTGTGGGAGCTCTCTGTGTGCTCCGGACAGCAGCGCTTCATCTCATGTGTCCTCCGAGAGCACGTTCTCCGGCCTGTGGCTGTCTCATTCCCTTAACGGTGTCTTCTGCAGAGCATGAGTTTTCAGTTTTCATGAAGTCCAACTTACTGACTTTTTCTTCCAAGGACCATGCATTTGGTGCTGTATCTAAAGCCGTCACTAGCTCAAGGTCACCTGCGTTTTCTCCCACGTCGCCACCCAGGAGTTTTATAGTCTCGCATCTTATGCTCAGCTCTGTGACCCCCTTTGAGTGAGTCTGAAGGTGTGAGGTCTGCGACTAGACTGAATCTGGGGGCCTGTGACCGTCCAGCAGGTTCCAGCACCAACTGTTAAAAACACGGTCTTTGCTCCACTTTGCTCCCTTTGCTCCTCTGTCAAAGGTCGGTCGAGTGTGGACGTGTGCGTCCACTTCTGGGCTCTCTGTTCGGTGCCGGGGATCTACTGTCCAGTCTTTCACCGACACCACGCTGTCCTGACCGCTGTGGAAAGTCCTGACAACGGCGGGGTCTGCCCTCCGCCTTTGCTCTTCTCCTTCAGGACTGTTCTGCCTGCTCTGGGTCTCCTGCTTTCCCTTAGAACCTTTAGGCTCAGTTTGCCGGTACCCACAAGACAGCTTGCTGGGAGTTTGGCACTGTGCTGAGTATGTAGTTGGAAAGAACTGACATCCTCAAATTCCCGAGTCTTTCTACCCATGAACATGGACCGTCTGTCCGTTTATTCAGGGCTTCTTTGGTTCCTCCCATCAGAGTTTTGTAGTTCTCCTCACGTAGATCTTGTACACACCTGGTTAGACTTTTCCCTAAGGACTTCTTTTTGTGTGTGTGCTACGGCAAATGATACTGGGTTTTTCATTTCAAATTCCAGCTGTTCGTTGCTGGTACAGAAGAAAGCCTCTGACATGTGCGTCTTCAGTCAGATCCTGAAAACTTGCTTCTGGTGACAGACTTGCTGCTGTCGCTGCTGAGCTGAGATTTTCTATGTGAACATGTTATTTAAGAACTAAGGCAGCCACTCCCACCGTAAGTTTATTATATACTTTTCTTGTCTTACTGCATTAGCCAAGATTTCTTGAATGAGGCTGAAGACAAATGCCGAGAGTGGACATCCTCACCTTGTTACTCAGAGAAGCGTCTAGTTCCTCTCCACCACGTAGGATGTTAACGTAGTCTCTGAAGATGCTCTCTGTCCAGTTGAGGACGTTCTCTGCTATTCCTAGTTTGCCGCAAGTTTTTACAAATGGGTGTTGGATTTTATCAAATGCTTTTTCTACATCTACTGATAGGATCATTTGATTTTCCTTCCTTAGCCCATTGATGTGATGGCTTCCATTAATTGATTTCTGAATGTTGAACCAGCCTTGTACGCCAGGATAAATCTGAATTGGCCCTGGTGTACAATTTTTCTTGTTCATTGTTGCTTTTAAGCTGCTAACATTATGTTGAGGATTTTGCATTTTATGTTCACGAGAAACACTGGTCTGTAGTTCTCCCTTTTCGTGGTATCTTCAACTCGTTTTGGTATTAGGGCAATGCCGGCCTCACAGAATGCATCAGGAAGTTTTCCCTTTTCTTTTGTTTCCTGGCAGAGACTTCAGAGAATTGGTATAACGTCGCCCTTAAATGCCTGGTGAAATCACCAGTGAAACCGTCTGGCCTGATGCCTTCTTATGTAGAAGGTTATTAATTATTGGTTGAATTTCTTTCAGTAGATAAAGATCTATTCACATTTTCCAGCAAGCCTTGAGTGAGTTTTGGTAGACTGTTCCTTTCAAGGAGTTGGTCCATATAAGTTATCAAATTTATAGGAATAGTTTTTTTCTTAAAAACCTTTTTGTCCTTTTAGTGTCCACAGGATCAGTATTGACAGCCCCTCTCTCATTTCTAATGTCGGTCATTTGTGCTCTTTTCGTTGTTGTTAGCTCGGCTAATGGCTTACCAATTTTATTGATCTTTTCAAAGAACCAGCTTTTGGTGTCATTAGTGCTCTCCACTGAGTGTCTTCACTCCCACTCATCTGTGCTCGCTTTGCATGCTTTCTTCTCTCCTGCTGACTGCGGATTCAGTCTGCTCTGTGTCTAATCTCCAGTGCAGCAGGAAGGCTGGAGGAGGCCAGAACTGTCTGTCTCCCTCCCCCTGGTTAGGCCCTGATCAGACGCCAACACTCTGGGTTCTGGTGAAATGGTTTTTCCTGAGGGCAGGCCTTTCAAGGAGAGCAGAGCGCTCTGGGCACGTTTCAAAACACTGCTTTCCCCTCCCTCACTAGAGGCGCATGGAGACCTCTCTTCACACTCATCATGAGAACATGGTGAGGTCCTGCAGGTAAAGCCCAGGACAGCACAGCCCTCAGGCTGGGCCCCGGCGCTTCTCCTACCAGCTGCCTGCACTCGGCCCCCAGCATCACACAGCCTTCCTTCAGTGTCCAGACCAGCGGCCCCTGTGGTGGTCCCCGCTCCCAGGAGGCCCAGGTTCTCCTCTGCTTTGGGGGGCATCAGTTTGCCCTGTGACCTTGCTTCTCTGAGGGGTCTAAGGGATCTATTTGCAGCCTGTTTGGATTTTTTCTCATCATGAGGATGGGAGTGACAACTTCCAAGCTCTTCATGTGTTGGACCAGAAACCGGAAGTCCCTTTCGCCCCTTTTCCTCTTAAATTTCTGGGTAGGAACCAACGTGTTAAAATTCAGGCTATCTCTTTTTAAAATTCACTCCAACTCATCACAAATGCTGGATTGCTCTTGCTGTAGCTCAGTTCCAGGCAGAAGAGCA